CGCCTAACAACAACGCACATATTCTCCGCAAAATTCCACCCATTATACACCACACGAGGCTGCTATATTCGCCTGAAATTTATACGATGAGCAATCCAAGGCATGCCTCAAGCATGCATCTTCGCGAAATTGACTTCAACCGAGAATAGGGAAACGTCGTCGCTCCCGGTAAACTTCCCGTCGGAGAGTGTATCGTTGTTTTTTCTACCGGATAATAATACATCGAACGGAACATTGCGCGACAACATTAGTCATCTTGTGTAAAATTAAATTCCTAGGAAAAATTATAATCGTTTCAAACGTACGTGACACATAAATAAATATCGATAAATCACCGCGCGACAATCGAGACAATTCGTTCAAATTTTCCCGCAGACCACGCGGTCTTTGTTGCGAAGATTGCGCCATATATTGTCCAAGTAACATTACCCACCATCGTTGCAAGTTTCCTCCTTATTTCGTTCGGACAGCAACACGAGCCGCATTGTTCGCCGACAACTGCCTGTGTCTCTGGCACTGTCACTCAAACATCGTCGATCGAACCGTTGCGGGATTACCAGTCGAGAATTTCGGAGTCGAGAAAAGTTATAAGCCCGTAAGTTATTTCCGTCATAGCAACACACACGTCGTGGACAGCTCAAGTGGTTGCCGACAGTCGTTATCCGAAGGCCGCGAGCCTTCTGAGCATACTGAACGCTCGCGCGCAAATAATGAGAGCGCCATCGGCTTCTTCGCCGGATAAGGCGTCTTTCGGCAGTGAAAGTGTCAATGTCTTCGCGGCGCGCATATCCGTTAAATGTCGGCGCACCGAGTTTCTCCGTTAAATATTCCTGCCTTCCCGCCGATGTCGCGCGTGTCGCGACGGGGAGAGAGGGGGGGGGATAATAACTGCCGGTATGAAACTTAATAAAAACATGTTTCTCTCGTCTCTCTTCTGTCACGTCTCTGCGCGACATCGGCGTTGGCGACCGAACGGAGCGGCATAGCGAGAGCGAGAGCGAGAGCGAGAGAGAGCGAGAGCGCGCGCGCCAACGAGAATGCGTTTGTTTAATCCAACACGCACCAACGCACGCACACATATTCGGGCACGCGAGCGTGTGCGAGCGCAAGTGGTACCACCAAGTACCAGCGCGGTTCCGCTGGTCGCTGGAGAAGAGGAGAAGAGTGCGCAGATTCTCGACGAGCCGAGCTGAGCCGCGCTGCGCCTCGCCTCGCCTCGTCTCGCCTCGTCTCGTCTCGTCTCGTCTCGTCTCGTCTCGCCACGCCTCTTCGCGTCTCTCGGCATATCCGAGAGACGAGCAGCGCGAAAAACTGATACCGCCAAAAGCCAAAGCACACGCTCGTAAAATCGCGCTGCAAAAAAGGAGGGGAGTCGATCCCTTCGAGTCGCGAAAATTGAGATTCGCTTCGAGACGCGCGGCGTGATCTTCTTCTTGTGGTGGGTGACCGTGGTGTGACATGTCGCCCGTCGAGTACACACGACGCAAGTCGAATTAATACGTTCAATTTTTTATGCACTTTCTTTTTTTCTCACCGTGTACGGATCACTGGATCGTCATTCGCGACGAAGCAAATTGCGACGCTTGCCGTTCGAGAGGCCTTGCGAAACTAAATAGTGTGGAGTCACGCGTCAATAAATAATTGTATGATAAATGGATCGTAAGTCAAAAGCGAGGCAATCGTAATGGCCTATCGTTAATTTGTTGAATACAACGGGACCGAATGTGAGTCACGCGTTGAACTGTGACTTGTGTGTATCCTTAATCGGGCAGCGGATACTTGGCGCGAGTGACTTCCGTTAAGCTGCGTTTCCTTTCTGTAGCAAGACGAATTATAGAGTTAATCGCTCTCTACGTCTTTTCTACGCGTTTTCTACCCGATTTTCAGAGTCGGTTCTGTTTCTCTCAACTGAACGCCACAACGAAAAGTACTTGAGATGAAACATCAAAAGCATCTCCCGACAAACGGCGATGTTACCGACCGATTGCTGATTGTAAAGCCGATATCATACTCTGGTGACTTTCTTTTTCTATTTAATACATTATATCGTGTACGCACACACTAGACAGGCTGGCAATAAATTCTCAAACACTCGCTCTAATCAGCAGTCGCGCGGAGCAATTGATACCCGTGACTCAACGGGGGGGAAGAAAAAAGAATGAAGAAAGAAATTTATCGACGACATTATCGGACAACAAGAATATCTCAAATGTACAAGTACCTTCGATCGTCCCGCCATTAGTAAAGTCCACACACAGGCGACTCCTTCGACTGTCGCTCGACTCTCGCCCGACGATACGTTCGATATCGGAGCGCGTCAACAGCAAACATCGATATCGCGTTCGACCGCGCCGCGCGCGCGCTCTGCGTTTCCTCTCGAATCGAGACTCGAGATACTCGTGCCGGCCGGGGAGACTAGCTCGCGTCACACAGAGAAACTCGCGTCGGAGGAGAAACCAAAGAGAGTGTTGTGCCTGCTTCTCTCTAAGGTGAGAGTCTCCCCTTGCTAGCCCGACTCGCGCGCGCGCGCGACAGCCTTTTATTTACGTCGCGCGTGTTCTCCCGATCTGTCCGACTGATAAAGGCCTTTCGGTTTATCCACGCGAAACGGAGAACAAACAGCCGCGCTGTGGTTGACCACGCACAACCGAGAGAGAGAGAGAGAGAGAGAGAAAGAGACCGTTTCGATTGTTGAGGAATCTAGCATCATTAACGCGAGTCATTCTCAATGAGCTCATATCTGAATAGAAGCCTGTTTACGGACCGACGATGAATTCAACGAGTGCAGATTCGGCGAGCCGACGTAAGTCGATTGTACGGCGAATGTCTCTCTCTCTCTCTCTCTCTCTCTCTCTCTCTCTCTCTCTCTCTCTCTCTCTCTCTCTCTCTCTCTCTCTCTGTGTGTGTGTGTGTGTGTGTGTGTGTTGAACGTATATCACGTACGCACACGTTAGACAAGCACGTTAGGCGATAAATTCCCGGACATTCGTTTTAATCAGTCGCGGAGCGATTGAGAAAACACTTCAGTCAATGAGGAGGTTTCGAAAATACCGCTGTGTGTCGTATCGACATGTGTGTAGCTTGACTCTAGATACCGATAATCGACGTTTATCGGTAAAAAATGTCGATGTTTCGAAAGATTGCGCACATCTTGGGAGATACGACGAGGATAATGATAATCGTTGTAATAAACGAGAAATTTAACATAATAATTTCCACACACGGCCGTGCAATCGTAAACTTGTTGTCAAGTGTAAAATGACAATTAAAAACGGCCGGTACCAACGGAGCTTCTGCTCTTGGCATTGAAATTTCTCAAAGTAACCTTTATCACTTTTCCGTCGTCGAATGTAGAAGAAAAAAAAAACGAAAAAAAAAAGAAAAACGATGGTCGCCACGTTACTCATGCATACGTACACGACTCATATTCTCAGCTATGCAAACACACACACACACACAATCTGTGAAATCTACAGATTACACATTTTTTATCGTCATTATCGAAGTCTCTCGATGTTTCCTTCTCGGCCGATGAGATTGTGCAACAACGTTTGACGATAATTGATAATAAAGCGACAACGCCGCCGAATGACGAATATGAGAGAGAGAGAGAGAGAGAGAGAGAGAGAGAGAGAGATAACGCAGCGCAAGAAACGACGAGGATTGGCGTAGGCACGATAAATACGTAACTCGTTCGCAAATATCGACGAGAAAAGTCCAACTAACGACGATGTCCACACACGTCCGTTGGACGTATCTCGTCGAAGAAATTTGGACGTTTCCCAGATATCCACCGCGATATTTCCATAGCGTTAGGCGCTTACGAGCACGTTCGTAAATTTGCCGCGCGCAACCGCACACGATTCTGCGTGCGCGGCCCCCGCCGACCTGCCGTCGTCCTGTCCTCGGAAATATCGCGAGCGCGAACGGGGCTAATGTGGAAGCGAGAGATCCACAATCTGGCCCCGGCATGGAATCCGTCCGTCCCGCGACGATAACATCGGGGGAATTGTTAATGCGTCGTCCCGCCGCGACGTTAATATTTCATTTTTTCTCGATCATATCTCGTAAATAATTCATGGGAACGCAACGCGATCGTTGCGTGCCGGGGATCGGTCTCGGTCGGCGCGTTTCGTGAAATAACAAGCGCGGATTCTCTCTCGCAATTTTTTTTCGGACGACGTGCGAAGTCTCGTCGAAAAGTCTCAATGTTACAAAATACGAGAAATATCTCGCTGTTAATTAGCACCGGCCTGGTCATTGTCGGGCGCGCGCGCGCCTCGTCTGCTCCGTTCCTTACCGAACACGCTCTACGCTGCTCTTCGTAAACATTCACAGAGAGTTCGTGTCACAGAGTGTCGAATCTCGAAGATAACACGACCGTGTGGTGCGCGCGCTGCTCGCCGCTCGCGACTACAGTGAGAAGTAATAAAAGCACCTCGCATCGGGAGACGAATATATATGGGCGAAGTTGCTTCGATCAGCCTAAATTCCGAGCGGCGACAATCCTGCACCAACGTAATGCCGCGAACCTTCAACCGAGGTGGAAAACCTCGGCGAATCCACGAATGCTTTGCGAAGGAAACGAATTCTATTGAGATCCTATTCTCTCTCTCTCTCTCTCTCGTGTCTCTCTCGCTCGCTCGACGCGAGCGTCTAGTCCGCCGCGAACATCTTCGCTACGTCTACTACGTGTCCTCGCTTCGTCCCGTCCTCCCCCCCTCCCCCCTCCCCCCATCGTACTACATCGTACTATACCTCTGCACGTTACTCTCGAGCACTCGGACTCTCGTTATTCGATACAATTTACCCGCCGAGAGCAAATCTCTCGCGGCCCAAATAAATCAAGGCGCGACGAGGTGAGTGGTGAGTACACGACGCGAGTAGCGACGCTCCAATGGAAAACCGCGAGCGGAATCGAGCGGTACCGCGACGGAACAACGATAATACGCACAGCGCGGGCGGTCGAAATGGTCAATTGACAATAAATGGCGACTCACCTTAAACAAGTGTTCGGTGCAGTCGAACATTGCGTTGCTCATGACGGCAGTCGACATGTCGTCGGTTTCGCACACAAAAACACACCGTGTATCCGAAACGTCTGTGGTCTGCTCCTTCTCCTTTCCTCCTCTTCCTCTGACGGCTCGTATCTTTTTCGTCCCAGGCAGCGAAGCTTCTGGAGAAAGTAGCCAGCAACAGCAACAGCAGCAACGTCGAGAATCGTTGGAAGTGTTATCAACACGTGGACTCGTGCGGGCCGCTGAAGAACTCTCCTCAGGAGAACACAAAAGAACTGCCACTCCGACCGTACGCGTCGCTATACCGCCGTCGTAGCTCGCATTAGAAGCACCCACGCGTAAAACGGTATTCCGTACGTGTGTACGTGTGTGTCGGAACGCGTTGATAAAACCTAAAATGGCGAAAATGGCGAGGGTGGGGGGGCACGCGGAAAAGCGTGGAAGATCAACGTGACTCGAACGTTCTGTCGGTCGGTCGGTCGGTTGAGCGAGCACGATCGCACGAACGTGTTGCTTCGTGCTCTGCACGGATCTACCCGGCTACTCTGTGTATTGACTTGACGATCGCGAGCGATCGTCTCTCCTCTCGTTATGCTATGCTGCTGCTGCTGCTGCTGCTATGTCGTCGTATCGTCGCCGCCGTCGACGCCGCGAGCGATCTTGTACGCGAGCGGGGCGCGTTACGAACTTGAACTTGGCACTTTTGTTCGCCGACTCCGTCGATCGCGGCCACCCGTCTCTCTCTCCTCTCTTCTTTTGTTTCTCTCTCTCTCTCTCTCTCTCTCTCTCTCTCTCTCTCTCTCTCTCTTCCTCTCTCTGTCTCTCTATCTTTCCGTCTTGCGTAGAGATAAACTTTGGGATAAGCTTTTACGTGTCTTTCTCCTTCCTCTCTCTTCTTTCTTCCCTTCGCTTTACGCGCGCAGAGGTTATATTGCCCGCAGAACCTCCGAATGCGAACTGAACGGCGCGCGCTGAGTCTGTCCGGCGATACAAGAAGCCGACGTGCGGGCGCTCGAGGAGGCACCGTTGCGGCAGCCAATCGCGGGACGTTCGTCGACGAGAGAGAGAGAGAGGGAAGCCGGCGTTAACTTGGCAACTACGCACGGCTCGTCAGACCAATCCTGGAACACGTTCCCTTCGGCGCACCAGCTCTTCCGCACTGTCGTCGCGAACGAACCGAGTATATACACTCTTCTTCTTTTCGACTCGCAGCTTTAACAATTCGTAGGTAGGTAGGTAGGTAGGTAGGTAGGTAGGTAGGTAGGCTGGACTGGGATTTGGGGTGGTCACGGACGGGCTTCAGCACGGCGCGGATCCTCTCGCTCCGTGCTGGACCACAGCAGCGCGCCGTCGCCGTTGGATGCAGCGGACCGAGCGTGGAGAAGCGACGACCGTCGATGGCTGCCGGCCGGGGCGACGTATTGTTATCCGTAATGCGGTACCATATTTTTATGATTCATTGTTAGCCAGATTGTGGATATCTTCGCGCGCGCGCGCGGCGCACTCCGTGTCCGCACGCGAAGCTCCACAAGTTTCGACAAGTATGCGAACATGCAACGAGCGCATTCCGCAATGGCGGAACACATTCTCGAAACGACGTGAAGTTGCCGAATAATCGAATCGCCCGAGCTGGAATATCGCGCGCCGGTGGCGACCCGTTGATCCCTCTCGCGCTCGTTAATCATCTCTTAACCGCGCGGAATAATGTTCGCACATCGAGTCGAATATCGAGAGTACCTCGGACCGCCGCGCGCGGGCTTTTCCGAGAGTAAACGGATCGGCCGGCAATTGAGAACCTCGATGCGCCATCGAGCGTATCGATATTTCGGGAATCGTGACCATTAACCGTAACTGCGGTATTTCTTACGGAGCAGATTGACGGAGAGCGCCGCAGCAGCGCGCGGACCATGGAAAAAGTCGCGCGCTCTCGCGTGTTTGCCGCTCGCCAAAATGGACTTTCTGCGCGCCGGGAACGCCGAGAGCAGCCTCGCTGAAGGTCAATTTGTGTCAAATCGCGCTGGAGAAATGATTCCCGATATGCGAAGAGGCACAAGTCGCCTCGAGAGGGCGGGGTCACATCGCCGCTAAACCTAACCCTAACCCAACTTTAACCCAAGTGGAGAGAGGAAAGGACAGACGTAAGTGTGCGATGCGATGCGATGCGCGCATAATGTAGAACTTTATACTTCGATGCGTGCTGATAGCGATTAGCCGTGTTCAGTGAAATCAGTCATCGCTCGATGCTTAATTCGCGTTATACAATCTAATGATCGTTGGCGATCGGAAAGGCCCGATTGATTGAGGTTAATCCGCGGACAGATCTATCCTCCATATACATGCAATTACTAATAATAATTATGTTAATCCTATCGGATATTGTTGATAATTTTCGTGCATCTACGTATCTTCGTATCGCGGCGTATCGGGCATACCGAGCCTTCGAGAATTCTTTGTAGGATGGAATTCGCAGGTCCATCGGTCGGATCGGTCGTTATAATCCGCCGTTTCCCTCTCTCGGCTGATCGCGCGAACAGGAACAGAAAGGTTTGGTCCTTTCTCTCTCTCTCTCTCTCTCTCTCTGTCTACTTTTTTTCTTTTTCTTTTTCTTTTCCACCGAATCGCACGTTCCATCGAAACAACGTCGTAGTGCGCAATCGAAGAAGGAAATGACATTTCGCGGGGGGAAAGCCGGAAGTTCGGTCGCGCGAGGTCGCACGAGCGGGAAGTGAGACTCCCGGGCTGGGGTTTCACAGAGGCGCAATGTCAAGTGCCGACCAAAAGGTCGAACGTGCTCGGCAAACGGAGGCTCGATTACGACAGTTACAGCTAATCTCTCGTGACGGAGAAAAAGCGATTTAAAAAAAGTGGATTAAACGGGATTAAGCGACAGATTATCACGATCCTCGATCTCTCTATCCGATCGATTTACATTGTAACAAATTGCATGTTTGCCACTTTAGAATCTCGCGTCCGAAACCACAGTGTAGATTTTCATCTCGCTGCCTCTTTTGTCATTGCATTCGCTCGCTTAACCACGAACAACCACGACGGAAGGTCTCTCCAGGAATGTAATTGATTCGGGACGGATCTCCGTCGGACTGTAAAAATGCTTGTTCGTCGACAATGTTGCGTCAGACGTAATTTAGAGATTACCTTTGATCGTACAGTGATTATTTTTCTATGTCTACGGGTGTCTAGATGATTCTTCTGGAAATCGCTGGAATACAATGTTCTTCCTGGATCTACGCTGGATCTACGCTGGATCAACCGTATAAGGTGATTAGACGAACGGACGACGTGTAATCTTCTGGGTATCACGCTGGGGATTTATCGCGTCGATGTGAAAGCGATGGCATTTTCCCCGCGGAACAATGCAACCAAGTGAAAATATTTTTCTCTTGTATAATATATATCGTGAGATTTTCACTGACGTCGATAGCTTGTAGATTCTTTCATTCTCTAATGTCCTCGATAAAGTGCCTCGAAAAGTATCTCAAAACCCATTAAACATCGATTCGATGAAGGTATCAATTCTTCATCGCTCACTTGGAAAGCTTCGCTCGCTTATCGCGTATACGAGAACGAGAACGAGAACGAGATCGCAGCACGCACGCACAAAAGGTCTGACTTCTGTCCAATTACGGGGGTGTCATAGCATGCACCGTAACATACGGGCATATGAGGGTGGTGAACTACCGAATCTTATATAGCTAGAGAGGGAGAATGGTGTTTCCAACCCCGAACAGATTCTCATGTTGCTAAATATAACGACTAATGGGAGTCAGTTTTCGTCATGATGGTCGTCGGGCTGTATACAGAGATATCAGGCCGGAACATGCGGGCTCTTTGTGCGGGAACGTGCGCGCGTGAAAGAGAGAGAAAGACAGACAAGTCAGAGTCTGTTTCTGTCGTAACTTTATACAAGCGTGTATGATTAAGCGTGAAACTTCCGCGCTCTCCAAATCAGCCAATAAATTAGTCAAGTGTTTTCATCCTTGATGACTCATCCTCTCGCTCTCGTCTTGCTTTCTTCTTTATTTACTTCGATTGTTTTGTGAAATAAATATCGCTTCTCGCATACGTGCGGATGCGCCGCGAGTGCGGCAACGTTTGCCGTGACTTGATGGTGAAATCATTCCTGATTAATCGGGGGATCGGGATTGGGATCGGGATCGGGAATGGCGAGTCTATAATTTAACGTTTTCACGTTTCAAACGGTGTGGAATTTGAAGAAGGAGCTCGTCGCGCAGGAGGGTCGTCGCTATTTCGTATCGCGGAATATACCGGACCCGATACCCGAATAATACGCTTAGTAAAAGAACGAGGGAAGAAAGACTAGCCGAGTGTTGGCGCAGACGCGTATGTGGGATATATCCGTTATTATGGGAGTGCACTGAAAGTGCATGGGTGTACCATGTGGCTGATCAGAGCAACGTTATGCTCAGTCGGAGGTCTGGCGCTTTCTTGCAACATCACGTTTTTCGTCTCGTGCATGTCGCAGCGCTGTTTCAGACGCGAAAGAAGTGGGCGAAGAGAAACGGGCTACGCGAAACAGTAGTATTTAATTTCGCTTGAGATTTTTTGCCCCGGTGTTGTGTAATACGACGCCGCGGTCGAACCGGTCGCGGTAACTCGAAAGGCTCTTTCATACGACGCGTGGTTTGATTTTAATTTGCGCGTTTGCCAACACGAGGCAATAACAATATAATAGCGCACGGGGATCGCCTCAAATTGCACCTCATTTCCCGAATAACTGTAATCCTTTGTCGAAAAACGAGAATCTCGTCCGTGAAACGAGATATCTTCCCTGTCTTTCACTCTCGACCCTGTCGGGAATCTCGTGATGTTAGGTTTACGATTTTTATATATTTATATATATTTCGTCTCATGACTCTCTCTCTCTCTCTCTCTCTCTCTGTCTGTAGTGTATTTTCGAAACGTTAGGATTTAAACGGCACTTGGCCCAAATTTAACTGAATGTTCACTTTTTTTCAGGCTGAATGCTGAGAAGAATGAATGCAAAAAGTGACGCGATCGGAATAGAGCCATGGATTTCATTGTCTGAACCTGGACCCCATTGGGCACATTGCGGGAAGTCGAGTCACCGAAACGGTGAGTATGCCGCTCAAACGCTCATAAAGCGTCTATATTATGTTATAGACATAATAAGTATATCATTGATTTCCCAATGTTTTCAATGTTTCGTTGAGTTACGTTCGTTGCTGTTAATAGTTAATAGTTAATAGAAAAAGAATCATTAAAATACTATGTTGCCAGAAGTGAAAAGTGACGCGCTTACGCGCATTTTCTACGAATTTCTCGACGATAGACAAGAAAGGAAGATTAAAATGTTGGGTAATCTTGGTGCTGGAAGTTGCTACACGCTGAGCATCGTGACGTTATCTGCTTCGAGACGTCGACGTTTTTTTTTTTTCACCGGCGGCTGAGCCGCCGTCAAAACATCGCACAAGCGGAACGTCCCGTTGTTCGTTCTTTTGTTCGGGATCGCGTTGCGTCATTTGCCTTCGCACACAAGCGCACAACTTGATGACGTACTTATCGGGCGATAGTTCGATGATAGCGACGTCATTCGAAATTTCGCATCACTCTGGGCTTTCATCGATGTGATTCAGTTAGTCACACAGCACGTCACCAATGCGCCTCCAAGTGCGTCATTATCGCACGCAATGCGTCTGGCAATTATCCACAATGACGAAATAGCCAACCGGTTTCAATGCGAATTACCCGCTATACACGCTCATTTATGTACACGTGTTTCTCTAGAAACTTCGAGATCGCGTACCTTCGATCGTGTCTGAGAGGCATGCAAGTCGTCATTAGATAGGAAAGATCGCTCTTTCTGCAACAAAAAAAAATTAATTAAATCGTAGGATATACTTGAGGCTAGGAGAATTCTCCTTACATTAGTTTGTTACTCTGTTTTCGCATAGTACGTTTAAATTCTATAATGCACGATTCTATAAGCAGTAGTTATATTTTCATCGAGGAAAACATACATCGCCTTTTACACCAGCGACAACGAGTATTGAGCAGCATTGAGAGCGAGAGGATTGAGTTGAAATTTCAATTGGAATTGGAGTCGTGTGTAGATACAATAATACAAAGCAAAAATTCTTTAGCGCACGTTGAACGCATTTTGCATAAAATATTTCGGCATAAAAAATTACGGACCGTAAAGTTCGGGATACGAATCACGGATATTGCGTAGATCTGATTTTTCGAAGAATTGTTTCCCCCCCCCCAGTATGACTTATAAATAACAAGGCCAAACTAACAAAAAGAAAGGAATTTTCGAGGACGTTTTTCACGGTGAGAATATTTTTCACGCTGAAACGGTTGGAAACGACTACGACGACGGGGGAATTTGTCATTCTACCTGGAAGTTCTCCTTTTGCCATTCTTCCTTTCGGAAAAACTGACCTGACGAGAAAATTAAAGATTAACCCGGCGTAGAGGTAGAGATTCTATGAAAGAGAAAATGGCACAAAGTGTTGCACATTATGCTCGAACGTTTGAAAAGTTAGGGATATCGTTAATATCTTTTTATTGCCAACGTCTTTTAGATGTTAACTTAAACGTAATCATAATTCAGATCTGTCTGAACTGAGAGAGAGAGAGAGAGAGAGAGAGAGAGAGAAAGAGAGAGAGAAAGAGAGAGAGAGAGAGAGAGAGAGAGCCGCTTCTTTTTTTGTTTCCGTCAAAGGGCTCCGTGTAAGGGGCTGCTTGAGAAACGTGGGATACTTAGAAAAGCCGCGACCGCGATAAAAATTCGTGCGCTCAAGTTATGTAATTAGAGAATCGCGAGGTAAATGTCACGATGAAAATGTCACAGGGCAAGCGAGATGCAGAAGAAGCTGCGCTCTACCCGCGGCATTAATCAATGCGCGATCCTGCGCCGTTACAACGTATTATATCATAGTGTACTTACGCGTACGTGTGCGAAATATCAGGACTCATTGATTTAGCTAACATTGATTTAGTTAACGTTCTCGAGACGAGTTCTCATGATATTTATCGTGCGTTATCATCGGTATCATCGGTCGTCGGTATTCGGGATTCGTCTCGCCAAATGCGAGAAAAAATAGAGAAGAATAGGCAAAGCCAGTGCTTATTCTTTTACTTCTCGGCAGGAAAATCCTTCCGACTGAGGGCATTCAGTTGCTCGGAAAACATCCGCCGACTGCGATTTTCGAAAGACCCGGAATGGCAGGGTTGGGGCTATTTTAAACATCCCTGCACGACTACCTGCGTAGATCGCGCTGATCGATAGATCGGTGCGGAGATCGTTCCGAGAATTGCAAAGGCCAAGGCAACGACACAGGTAGGCAGACATATAACGACACGGGTAAATGCACGCCGCTAAACCGGACGGAGCGGAAAGGCAGCTCGCCGGCGCGGCGTAACGCCGGAGCTTAAAGGTAGCTCTTTCTCGCGACGCGTCCACCTCTTCCCCGCGAAAAAGTTGTCGTTATCGGGTCGGTATTGGTGGCTCCTTTTTCCCCGCGCGCTGCGCACAGCGAGTCTCATAAAACTGCGCTTTACGAGGAAACGCTCGCGCTCGCGCGCGCGCGCCCGCGACTGACCCTCTCCGATTTCGACGAGCACTCGGACACACGTTGTAAAGTGAACGGAGATATGAGTATAATATAAACATTTCTTTACGCGCGCACACACATGCGCGCGCGCGGTTGCTTCTTAGAGATTTAGAGGCGAAACGAGACGCCTGCTCGCGCCTATGCGTCGCCCGCCATCGCGGAGAATGCTAAGGAGACCGAAGAACTTTAATAATATACAGTCCCGAAGAGATTTAATAATATACGGCGCATTAGCGCGCGCGAAAAAATCGACGCGTTCCGACGCGGCGGCGGCGGCGGCGGCGGTCGCCGGCGGGAGCCGGTTACGCGCGCGGCTCAAGTTTACGTATGATTAAACCGGGCATATTAAGACACGAGACGCACGCGTGATTAATAACTGCGTCGCGCGTTCGCGCTCTGAAAAGTCGATATCTCGCCTCCCGCCTCTCGCATTCCTCGCTCGGGGTTTACGCGCGTCCACGCTGCGTGTGCAAACGTCGGCCGGGCGTTAGCGTTTATCCGCAACTCAAGTCTCGCTCGCGAGAACGAGAAACGAGGAGAAGCAACAGCTGTGTGACTTTCGGGCCGAGCCGGGCCGGGCCGAGAGTTACATCGCGCCGCGACATATCGCGACAATGCTGATTTGCATCGCGCGCGCGCGCGCGCGCTGCAAATACTCCGTTCAAATCGCACGCGATGCGATCACTCGACACACTTTTTCCCCGACGCCGACGCCGACGCCGACGTCTCTGCCCTGTCGTCGCTCGTCTCCGTGCGCGCGCGCGCACGCGCGTGTATTCTTTACATAATTTGCTTAGTTCACGCGGCACGTAGCGCAGTCCATGGTCGCAGTAATGGCGCGTGCAGCGCGTAAGTGCTTACGTATTTGGTTTGCGCTCTCACTTTCTTATTCTCCGGCCGTTTCCGCGGCTGGGCGCCACTCAAATCGAAACTTTCACATTTCGCATTAATCTCAAATTAATGACAACCGCGAGTGTTACGTAAATGGTTATAGTTTCTCGTCGCGACCGCAGACTGCACCTGCGGATTGCAGTCTACGATCGTACGATCGATACCTGTTGAATGTTGAATGACGTTTCGTCGTCCCCTTGCGACGGCCCGAACAATTCATTCGCGACAGAGACCGTGTCTATTTTCAGCTCAGTGCTCGCTCACATTTTACTCAACCGCTGATAACCGCTGATAAAGCGTTTGTTAAGGAATTATCCGTTGTAGCGTTCAGTCCAAGTAAGATCAAATTCACTTGAGTGAGATCAATCAATCGACGGAATTTACTCTGCGCTCGATTGTGCTGTTCGGCGGTATACACGGGGAACGAGGATATTAGAAATACGTTGGGAACAATGCGCTCGCGCAGTTATCAGGATCAATTGGCTCGGAACAATGTATGTCTCGTCAACATACTTTAATTCGCGAGTGCGGATTACGCTCCATTCATTGATATCGACACGGTCCATCGATCGCGCGCGCGCGCGTGACAATTCGAAGTCGGGCAGGGTGAGATAGTATTATTATTATTTTATCCCGTAGCGATTCGTAGCGTGATCGGTTTTCCGGCACGCGAAACGAATCGCGATGCAACGAGGCAATGTCGTCGCTTTGGCGGTCAATCGAATTCGTGGACTTATGGATTCGTCTGAATCCACCGAAGCATCCTTTTTCGCTTTTTCTTTTCGCTGAAAGCTGACGCGTCGGGACGCGTCGTCGGTCGCGATTATCAATCGACCTCGGTGTTTGGATAATTGAGATTGCAGGGGGAAAGTGCGTGTCTTCCCTCCGTGGAAGTTTCGCGCGCTGCGCTGTCGAAGAAAGGGGGGAAAAGTTATTATACATTTTTCCAAAGTGACGCTCCGCCACTCGCGATAAGCGCTCCCCGCGGTGGTCTTTTAACCTAACCTAACCTAACCTAAAGTGCAACGACGATTGCGACTCTTCGACAACGTTCCGTAAGGGTCACTGTATCGTTGGGCCGCACCGCACCGCACCGCGGCGAACGATCGGCGATAGCGCTGCGCTGCGCTGCGCTGCGCTGCGCCGCGCCGCGCCGCGCCGTGCCGAGGCTCTCTAAAGTCATTGCACTTTGAGCCGCGACGACGGCTGACGAGCGACGCTCATATCGGCATATGTATATGCACATGTGCGAGCGAGTATATGCACACACGAGACGTGACCCTCTGCGCGCGCGTTTCTTCCTACAGGCGACAATGCTTTCGTAGCCGCGCGCGGAGCGGCCGCCTATCGTCGCAGCACGCAAACGCGACGCGCGAGCTCTCTGCACCGTACGCAGCCGCGGCTTCTCCTTCTATCGAGCACGTCGCACGAATCGTCGTCACGCCTATTGTCCGCTCCGTTCCGTGTAACACGCGTGTATGTTGCAGCAAAGGGACCTTCTGGAAAAACGAACTTCCCTCCCGTGTATCGGCGCGCGTGCGCGCGCGCGCGCGCGCGCGATCCAAGTATCGCCGAAGAACTCCAACGCTCGACTCTGACGAGTGT